CAACAGCGTTACTTATTTAAACAAAGTTTTGGAGCCACGCGCGAGGAGCCGGCACACACAGAGGTGTGAAGTACTCAGCTGGAGCTCAGCACTCCTGTTTTCAGTCATGGCTCCTTGTGCTGATGTCAGCAGGCTTTGGGCTGAGCTTCCTGAAAGTGGCATGTCTGGGGAGCTCCTGGGTTTCCTCTTATGAAGACCATGCTAAAGCCAAGACTCCGGTACGCCAGGAGCAAGAGTGGAAAATAGTTGGCATTGGATATGCACTACAACAGATACAAAATTGTATTTAAAAACAAATAATCCAGAAATTACCTGTTGCATTTCTTTTTAGTTTTACATTGCAAGGTACACTCTACTAAAACTAACCTTAGTTTGTTTTATGCATTTTCTCTGGACTGGTAAATTTTGCTGTGCCATTTCCTGCTCCTTCCCCAGCCCTGTCCTGGCCGGAGCTCTGCTTTCATCGCTCGCTGGTACCTGCTGCCTCTTCTGCGCCTCGGAGAGCTTGTTGATGGCCCACTTCAAATTTCAGACATTTTAGCCAGAGATTACTTAGACGGTGTTTAAGATAGAGAAGTTTCAAAGATAGCAAACGGAGATGGTGCGCCTGTATTTAGGAACCTATTGGGAAGGTGTTGGGTCGGCAGCCAACACGAGCGCTGGGCTGGCGGTGAGGAAGAGCTCTGACCTGCAGAGCAGCGATGGCTTCTTCACAGTGGGAGGCCCCAAGGATAGGTGGATAGTTACTACCCGTTCCAGCAGTAATTATTCATAGCACAAAAGAAATTTCTGGTTTAGACAGCGTGCTCTTTACAGTATGCAAACCAGCCCAAGACGCTTTGCCTGCTGCCCTCCCCACACACAACTTTTGTGTTCCTCGTTTCTTGAGAACTTTTTTGACCATGTTGAACGGATGAAAGCGCTGTTCCCCCCCGCTCTTCTTCTAACTCGTGTGTCTGTTCCTCTCTTCCAGGCACCCAAGGCGTCGCTCCACCGCCGCCCGCCCCCGTTGTTGGGCTGCAGACTCCATCCACCGGCCTCCTGGGCGCGCGGCCGGGTTTGATCCCGCTCCAGCGCCCACCGGGGATGCCCCCGCCGCCCATGCAGCGCTTCCCCCTGATGCCGCCGCGCCACATGCCGCCCCACATGATGCACAGAGGGCCCCCGCCGGGGCCGGGGGGCTTCGGGATGCCTCCTCCCCACGGGATGAAAACCCCCTTCCCTCCGCCGGGCCACTTCGTCAGGCCCGGGGGGATGCCGGGCAGCGGAGGGCCGGGCGGGCCCGAGGATAATCGAGACGGGAGGCAGTTCAGGAACGACAGGCAGACGTTCACTCCCAACAGAGACCAGGAGAGGTTTGGAAGGAGATCTTTTGGGAATCGGGTAGAGAACGATCGCGAGCGCTACAGCAACCGCAACGACGACAGAGACCACGAGCGCCTCGGTAATCGGGAGCGGAGAGAGTGGGGAAGAAGAAGCCCCGAGCGCGATAGGCACAGAGACTTGGAGGACAGAAATAGGCGGTCCAGCGGACACCGAGACAGAGAGAGAGATTCTAGAGACAGGGAGTCCCGCAGAGACAAGGAGGAGAACCGAGGCAAGGAGAAAGGCGAGATGACAGACAGGGCAGACGGCGACAAAAACCACGAGTCCCATAGTGGCAAAATGGAGGACGCAGACATTGTTTCAGAACTTCCCAAAGGAGAGTCTGAACCTTCAGGTGTAAAACCTGACGACGCGTTAACATCCGAGGCTACCTCATCCGTGGAACAAGCCGAAAAGGATATGGGCTCAGTTGCCGAGGCTCCTCGCTAGAGACTGGAATTTGTCGGTGACCTTTGTGGGAGTGTAGAGCTTTAGAGTTGTACAGTCTGCTGTATTATATTTGCTTCTGCTTATATCACAGCCCCTCGGTAGTTGGTGGGGAATTGTAAGCAATTTGATTGCTTCCCTTCTATTTAAAATAGCCACAACATAACACAAAAATACTGAAGATATGATTAAAATATTACCCATTTTTGCTGTAACTTTTTTAAAGTTTTGACTTTAAAAAGTTTACAAATCAGAAGTAGAAGTGCTTTCTATTTTTTTTTTAATTTAAGAAAAGGTAACGGTGAAAGCTCCTCAAAACAATAGGGATGTGTTTTTAATAAACTCTATTTTCGTAACAAACTTTAACGTGTGCTATTCTTCCTACACTGCACTGAAGTGGAAAAGGATTGTTCAACATCTTAAAGTTTGAACTGTTGATGCTGTACTGGAGTCTAAATTAGACTTTTGTTTATATTTGTTCAAAGAAATACATCTGTTTGTGTAGCTATTCACAGAAGCAATTTTTAATTGTAACAGTCATCTTGATTTTTAGATTGCTGCATTTTAATGCTCTACTTGACCATTCTAGGTGAAAGTTAGTTTTAAAATGTTAATTGAAGAGGTAACTGTTTAGTGTTTGCAATGCAATCAATTTTTTTTCATTTTTATTTTTTCCTTTTTCCCCCACTCCAGCTGGTTTTATGGTAAATGTTGCCCTAATTAGCCTTTTTTTTAAAAAAAAAGAAAAGTGGACACTTTCAGACATACTTAGTCTACTCTGCTTGTAATGTTATGAAATTATTGTGTGTGGTGGGCAAGGGAGCGCACCAGTTCAGCATCTTTTGTACTGTTTATTCATTGATGCTTTTTGGAAAGTGGGGTGAGAGGAATCAAAGAAAGACACCAAAACACAATATGAAATGCTAACCTATTTTTTTTAAGCGGGGCTGGGAGAAGGTCGGGGAGTCGCTCAAGGATTTTAAAATGCTGCCTGTTCGTTCACACAACTCGGGGCTGCTACTGTTGTCTGTGTTAATGATGTCTACCTCCTGTAACCCTGCAAGAGGTAGGTTTAAAATTTTTACTCACCTCGTGTTGTACCTATTGGACTGATGGAAAAAAAAGAACGCTTATTCTTGTGTTTGTGTAAGTTTTTACCATCTTCTCGCCATATTACCTAAATAATTTTGTCAGATTTTTTAAGAGGGCGAATCCTCGTTCTTCGTGGTTGGCCCTTCAGGTGCAAACAGTTTGGAAAGCCCGCTACATTGTGCTGGGGAGAGCCAGAGCCCTGACGAGCCCACGCTGAACCGCGCTCTCCGGTCAGCCCCGCACTGAGCCGCGCGGCTCGCGGCGCACCAGGCGTTCAGCTGCAGCTTGTTGTGCTCTAGGGGTGTAGTGGGAAAAAAAATTGTATGAATCCTGTGCATATTTAATATTTTTTTTCTCCTTGATATAGGTGTGTTCTACTTTTAAAGTTGGGTTATTTTTCCCTACGTGAAGGGCAGCTGCTTTCTTACATCAGTACTTTTTCATAGCTGCTCTGCGGCAGAGGGATTTTTTTTTTTTTCTGGGGGAGGGAGAGGGGAGGGAAAGCAAATGTGGAGCTATGGATTGGGGAGAGGACATATATTTTTATGTTCTTGCAATAGCAGAATAAAGAGAGAAAAAAAAAAAAACAACAAACTGTTTACATACTTGTAGTGAACTCAACTTCCCTGTGTTAAAACGTTGTGTCCTTAATGTTTGTTTCATGCTGGGCCAGTGGAACTTTTTTCATACACAGCCAGACATCTATGTGTAAGGCACTTAGTGAGAACTGCCATCGCTCTGTAAGGAGGTAGGATTTTTTTTAAATACACTTTATTAAAAGATGTTAAGACGAGTGACAGATGGAAGGCTGATCTGTTACAATTCACACAAGTGCCACCTCACATTCCCTCCCTTGTTAGGAAGCTGAGAACAGCACCTGGGATGAGCCTTAAATGTCCTTTGCAGGATGATTTCTGACTGCCTTCGGAAACAGCAATTGTACGGTGAACCTGCTGGGAGGCATCACCGGTGTATCACATCCTACTCCTGCATTAGCTGCCCGATATCTGGCTTTTGGATGAGTCAGCTCAGTGTAAGCACCTTCCACCAGTAAGAACATTACAGTGCTGGCAATTAATACCTTGAGCACTGAGCCTCTGCCTGTTAGGGGTGTTTATAGGTAGTCCCAGTATCGCTCCCGCAGCCCTCCTCTGGGCTTCTCAGACACAAAGAGGCGGCACCTGTGCACACTCAAAGCCTTCTGGGCCCTCTGATGCTTAAGCAGCAGCCTGAAAGCTGCATTCACCACCTCCCCTCTGCTGCAGCTTCAGGGGAGCCCCCGGGAGGAGGTGCAGGTGGGTAGGGGCTGCACACAGTTTGCCAGCTGTAACAAATGTGAGGTTGAAGTGCTTTTTTTTTACCATGTTGCTATACAAAAAGCCGCTCCATCTGCACCATGCTAACATTGGGATTTGGGTGTCTCTAGAAGTACAACCAGCTACTTCCATGAATCTCACTGGCGTATAAGTGAAAGGAATGTTGATGCAAGTCTTCATTAAAACTAATAACCTTCTGTTACAAGACTTGTCAATCCATGTCTGAGGTGCATATGAGGAAATCTGAAAGCTGGCACTACTACATGGTGATTGCACCACTGGAAAGCTTCAGGAATTTGAGTACAGGATTTCTGACTTACATGTATGCTCTTCAATTAGGACCTATTCCATTATTAGGATCTATTCTATATGGCCAGACTTTTTTTACTGAGGGGAGGCTTTCACCTCTGCTCCACCACCCCAACCCACACACCCTGAGGTCCACACAGTGACAGAGATGTGTGCTGGAGTCGGACCATTCGATGCTTACAGCCCCTTCAGCACTTCAGATATTTGCAAAGTTGGGTACATAACACATATGCAATAGGCTCTGGGTATCAGGTTATTCCTACAGGGCATGGAATACTTCTAGAGGAATGCAGCTTCTTCGCTACTCACATCCCAGTTGATCTGGTCAGCAGTTCCAGGGTTGCTTCCTGAAAGCAGTTTCCTGGATGCTGTTGGTGCCTCGCAAATAACTGCTGCTGTCAGTAAGCCCAAGCCTTCCCTCCACATTATGGAATCAGCTGGTAGCTTTTTCAATAGACTGCAAGACCAAGGTGTATTTGCCAGCAAGTTTATTATGCAACTTTGAAATGTACAACATGGCAAACTGCGCCCACTGCTCTTTGGTGGGTAGCCCTGGCAGAGCTCCCGAGGCTCCGCATCTCCCCAACCCCACCATGCACTAGCAGCTTTGTGCCCAGCATGTGACACTAACACCCATCACCCAGCAGGAGCTGCTCCAGGTAGTGAGGATTGTTCTTAAAGGGGTTACAGCAGGTGCTTTAGCAGGAGACTACAGAGCTTTTCCATCAACATCACTTTAATTGCAATATACACGTTACAAAATTAAGTCAGTCTTCACCAGTTTAACTGATACTCAAGAATGCAGAGTAGTAATGAGATTAACTGAAATCTGTTGCTTGAACGAGGAAGAGCAAGTACGGTGACCACGATGAACACCGGCACGTTTCTCAATGTCGCCTCGAGCACTTCAGGCACACCACTCAGCACTTGGCTATTCCGATGACACCACAGGCCAGGCGAGGCCCGGCATTCCCAGTTAGCGTGCTCTCGTTGTCTCCCCCTTTGCCCAGGTCGTCGCTTTTTGCATGGACCTGGAAGAGAATGGGAGATGCTGTTAGTTACGCAGCAATGTGATTTAAGGCATTTCATTACACACACAAGCAGTGACAAGCAGTACTGTCAGCTACCAGCAGGGCATTACACAACAGCCAGCACCCACCCTGTTTGTAACACTGGATGCCAAATTGGTACTCGTGCTGAAAGTTTAAGACTAGACTTGCCCAGAACGCTTCATCACCTTCAGCTGCATTTGTTTGAACTGGAAGCTACCAAAACCCCAGGATTCAGTAAGTTAGTATTTATTGATCCAGGGACACACTTGGACTTGCAGCCCAGGCTCACCCTCACAGCACAAGGCTGCGGTGAAGGCGCAGAGCCCAGCGCTGTTACACCGCCCATCTCCTGTGCTCAGTCATCAGACTGAGCCTGCTCAGTGCAGGAGATGCACACAGCACAAGGGGAAGTGCCCACGGCCAGGCCTTCACTGGCAGCATTTGGGCCTCATTGCCAGCTCCTTCCTCAGCTCAGTTTGCTTTACTCTTGCACAACCAGAAGCAAACTTGGAAAGGAATATCTTCAAGATAATCTCATGGTGACAAAGTGTTCATACTAATACATAAAATATTTTCAGACAATGCTTCAGGGAGCTCCGCATATTAGAAGCTTTGCACTACAAGTCACACAGCACACCAGGAACCAGCCTCCAGCATCACAAAGTCTCCACTCACTGGCAGTGCTGCCCTGGAGCTCTTTAGGAGCAGGACACTTACCACCATGGTGCGCCCAATGATGCAGTGTGGTCCAGTCAGAGAGATGACGGAATCTTCTATTTCCACATCTGCTACTCCTCCTTTAGCAGTCACGTTGCCGAGGTCACCCACGTGCCTACACAAAGGCAGAGAACCTCGTGGAAACCCTGGTTAAACCCAGAGCCCTAACGGGTGGCCTGGGCAGTACAACGCCCAGGGTTCCTACACTCCAGGACTCCACCACCTTATCTCGCAGAGCACATGTTTCCATTTACCACCAGTGAACCTTGATTACTTTCACTACCTTAACTCTTTCAGTTCAAAAGAAACTAGAATTCAGTCCTAGGGAGGACCTGAAACCAGCAGGCTGACCCACACTAGGGGCAGTGCTGTTATTGCCCAGTAACACACAGCTTTTCCAGCTCCCAACCCCTCCGTGCTGATGGAAGGGGACTGTCTGCTCAGAGGGAGCTCTCAGTTCAGTCCCTAAACCTTTCCTGCACGTACAAGGCTGGGTAAGAACACTGCTGCTATACTTCACTTTTAATGTATAGCACAAATCAGCTATTCTGCAAGCAGTCGCAGGCTTTAAGCTTAAATAGGATTAGTAAAAGCAGCCTGTCAAGTACTAGGTCAAAGGGGATGCGTTAAGTGCTGGCTGAGTTCGAACCAGCACTAGGAGTGATTGAGACACTCAGCTTTGGCTGCTGCTTTCCCATAGACAGCATTACACTCTCCTACGCAGCTCCAATCAGAGCTGGTTCACTGCATCTTGCTTGAAAAACGAACCCTCAGCCAGCTCAGTTCTCACAGACCTATTGGTCATTCCGGTGTCTCGTTCCCCGCACATCCGCCCCAAATAAAGCATTCACTTGAAGCTGGTGTTCTGCAAGGCGCTATGGATGCAGAGCCTCCAAAACTCTCTGTGCACAGGGTGACCAGCTCAGCCACGTGCTGACTGCCAGCTTCTTGGAGAGCAGGGTGCAAACTCCATGTGTTTAACACAGCCCTATAAAACGAGGACAAGGGCAGCTTTCCCTTTAGGAATTTGTTTGATTTAAGCTTTCAGGAAATTTTACTACCACCTGCCCCAGCTGCAGACTGACAGAGCCATGACCTAGTTCTTTTACCTTCACAGAGAATTCCCCAGCCAGCAGTTACACTAAAAGCAGGGTCTGACAAAGCAGGCCCAGCAGAAGCCACAGTGCTCATGCAGCTGTGACCTTTAGCACTGGAGCATTCGCCTGCCTGTGAAGCCCATAAGCACAGCATTTCACCCTGCTCGCAGCCAGCCTGCTTGAACCACTCACTCCACTATGAATTGATCAATCAGACGCTGCACATACAGACCTGGGTGCAGGCGCTTAAAAGCCTGACCAACACTGCAGGTTGGCCACAGCACCTGTCCAGAACTGATGACCTCCCTATAGCACACCAAGAGCCTGTGTGCAGCTCAACAAGTGACGGTTTGGGGCCTCTATTGTCAATAGCCAGCCCCAAAACAGAAGCAGAGCACCACTGACTACATCCTGAACCCCCTCCCCTTTTCACTCATATCCTAAGGAACACTCACCAAGGGCCCTTTTTTCTTCTTCCCCCCCAGGCCACAATAACTCCAACAATGCACCAGAGCCTGCATTTCACACGCTCTGGGTGCTAAGGTCTCTGAAACACCACCCTACAGTTACCAAACATTGCTAACTGACCTCAGAAGTCCTGCTGCAAGTACAAGCTTTCTCCTAGTACTTTCCTAGCATTACTCATGAACCTGGATCCCCAGCACAACACTCAGATGGCTGCTGCACCAAGCAGCTACCCAGGAAGAGGTCAGGCCCCTTAGACTCACCTCTCTGCATCCTTTGGTCCACCATGCTTCTTGCCTTCAGGATTGAAGTGAGCACCTGCACTGGTACATCCTGAAACAGAAGGCAGCCAAAGTAGCCTTGTTGCAATAACCAGCTTAAATCTGCTGCTTATGCAGCATACCAGGGTAGTACTCCTACAGCCCAAGGAAGTAGGATCATTAATGAAACTGCCACTCTCCAGCCAGATCCACTGATCCTTTGGATATAAGGAACTATTACAATGTCAGACGTTACTCCAAGTCCACTAAATTACAATTATTCATTCCAGTGTTCTGGGCTCAGATAATGTGCTCTGATTTCTTAATACTAGGTTGTCAAAGCATTTAGGTTAATGCTCAATATACTACATCTTGAACACTAGCCCCAACATGTTTGAGGTATTTATTAAGAATCAATTCCTTAGGAAACACCATTTATTAAATCAGACTTGCAGTCATGAAGTTTAAGTACACTTAATACTAGTTGTTGTGTAACACTAAAAGAAGCTCTTTAAAGCTGAGCACAGTACAGCTGTACCTCAAAAGCCTGGACAGATATCTTACCATTTGTGTTGTCCCCAAATTCGTGGACATGGAAGCCATGATCTCCATCAGACAAGCCACTGATTCTTCCAGTAACTTTTACTGGTCCGTTACCCTGTAAGAGAAGGGGATTATAGCTGCTGAAACGACCACAGCAAGGGGCCTCATGCCAGGTGAGGCTTCCTAGACAATCTAAAGCAGCAAAAACTCCACTAAGTTCAGCTACCAACACAAGTAATTACCTTGCTAAATTGAGCCCATATGCCAGCAAAGGTAGGTTCCCTGTGAAATGCTGCATTTAGCTAGTAAGAATGTTCTGGGTGGCTATCCTCAAGCAAGAGGAACCCCAGAAGGGCTGAGGTTGAAGGGACCGCTGGAGGTCACCTGGTCCAGCCCCTGCTCAAGTAAGGCCACCCACTGACTGCTGGCTGCCCACTGCCACGTCCAGGCGGCTTCCAAACACCCCCGCAGAGGAAGGCAATGGATTTATCATATTATTTCTGAGGCTGCTCAGGTCTGTTCACAGCCACGAGCAACCCCGGTGCCGCTCCTCCTCCCGCAGGCAGCCTCACCTTGCTCGGCGGGTCAGCGCCTCGTGCACTAACGGTCACAACGGTCACACCCCCACACACCCCCAAACCGCCCCCCCGGCCGTGAGGTGAGGAGGGGAGGGCAGAGCAGGGCCGGGCCTGGCCGCCCGCCCCCCGCCGTGACTCAGCACCGCCACCCAGCAGGGTCGCTCCCGCCCGCCGCCGGCCCCAACCCCGACCCCAACCTGCTGCTGGAAGTGGATGACGCCCTCCACGGGGCCGTCCCCCTTCATCACACACACGGCCTTCAGCGTCGCCATCTTCCTGCAGGCGGCGGGCGCAGACCGGCGCTGCCCCCCCCCAAACCCGCTGCGACCGGGCGCAGACTGACGGGCCGGCCCCTCCCGCCCACCTTATATAGAGTGGCCCGCCGGCGCCGCGGCCAATCAGAGGGCGCCCTCCGCTCTCCTCGCGCAGTCATAAGGCGAGGACCGATCAATCAAGGAGCGGAGGGAGGGAGTTGTTGCGCGGGAGCCAATCGGCGGCGCCAGCCCGGGGGCCAATGGGCGGGCGAGCTGCCCCCAGCCGCGCGGCGTTGTGTAATGGCGGCGCCTCGGGCGGGCGGCTGGCGGGAGCGTGCCTCCATGAGGAGCTCTCTGCGCTGCATTTATTTTTTAACTATATCCTCGCCCCCAGAGGCTATCTTCCAATATTACCGCAGCCTGAGTTGTATCACATCATGAACTATTGTTTAAAGCACGAACATTGCCCTGAAGTTTCCTCTGAGTAGCTTTATATTGCAAAATAGCCATCCCGTCCAAAATATCATAGATGTTTTATTCCCCGTACAGAAACTGTCAAAATTACAATCTGAAGCTGGTGCTGCTCAGCTGCTGGCTTCCCTTGGTGTGCTGTAGGCTTTTATAGAGATGCCTTTCCATGTAGAGTACTCACAGTAACAGGCAAGGTATCCAGTAGACAGCTCTGCTTCAGGTGGAGTCTCTTGGTGTAGCCTTGGATCAGTGCTGGGGAGAGATGACAAAATACATTATTTTTTAAAGAATTATCATTAAAGTACACATTAATCACAGAATCTTCACAAAGTTCACTCACACCAACAAAAAGAATTCCCCACACCATTATATCAGCACAGCACTGACAAAGGTAGACAACCTACAAACATCCTGCCCTTTGTCCCTCCGCCACATTATCGCATACATTCTCCACAGTTATTACACTCTGGCAATGTCCAGACCATGTTTTGCTCATTACCTCTCCCGGTTATCTCAAGCTCCTCAAGCCCCACATTGGGCACCAGAAAGGACTGTGGTGGTTTAATGCCAACAAACAGCTCAGCAGGCAGAGAAAATATGATGAAAAAAGGCTCTTGGGCTGAGATAAGGATGGGGAGATTGCTCAGCAGTTACAGTTGCAGCCAAAACACTATAGGAAGATTAATACAATTCTTTGTCTACCAATAACAGACTCGAACAGTGAGAACTAAAAGCAAACCAAAACCACCTTCACTCCATCCACCGTCTTCCACCTCCTCCCCTCAAGCAGCAAGGGGGAACAGGCAATGGGGGCTGCGGTCAGTCCCTAACGCTTTGTCTCTGCCACTCCCTCACGGTCCCTCCCTGCCCCTGCTCCCCAAGGGATCCCTCCCACGGGATGCCGTCCTTGCCGAACTGAGCCTGCGGGGGCTGCCCACAGGCAGCAGCTCTCCAAGCACTGCTCCCACACGGCTCAGTACCACGGGGTCCATCCATCCCCAGGAGCAAACTGCTCCAGCACGGGTCCCCCATGGGTGGGCAGCAGCTCCCCCCAGACCCCTGCTCCTGCGGGGGCTCCTCTCCACGGGCGGCAGCTCCGGCCCGGGGCCTGCTCCTGCGGGGGCTCTCCATGGGCCGCAGCCTCCTCCAGGCCACATCCACCTGCTCCACCAGGGGCTCCTCCACCCACGGGGGGGCTGCAGCGTGGAGATCTGCTCCATGTGGGACCCATGGGCTGCAGGGGGACAGCCTGCTCCACCAGGGGCCCCTTCACAGGCCGCAGGGGAACTGCTGCTGCCTGCCTGGAGCACCTCCTGCCCTCCTGCACTCAACTTGCGGGCTGCAGGGCTGCTTCTCACTCCACTCTCTCCCCACTGCTGTTGCACAGCAGCTTTTCCCCTTTCTTAAATCTGCTCTCGCAGAGGTGCAACCAGCATTAGTGAGTTGATGGGCTCAGCTCTGGCCAGCGATGTGGTCCTTTTGGAGCCCCCCAGGCTGCCAAGCCCTTGCCATGCAGATGCAGTACTGATGCACCTTAGACTCTAAGGGAAAGTTAACATCAGGCTTGAAGAGCACGCACCTTTGCACTTTTGTTCAGAGATCTGCAACAGTTTGAGTGTTTTAAGAATAAAAGATTGCATTTAATGAATTCCCTTGGCAAACCCATGTTGCTTGTTTTCCTGCTGCGTTGCTGATGGAGACATTAAATCAGAAACATAACATATTTTTAAAGTTCCTCTTACTGTAGGAAGTCTGTGTACATGACTGAGAGGTAAAGGACCTAGAGCCCAGGTGGTCTTAAGGCACCTGGATGAGAATGCCCTATGGGCAGGAAAGAAGTACAAGGTTTGTTTCACACATTCGGCTTAGCCATGAGTCCTAGAAGCTTAAGAAATCCTGATGTTAACTATTGTTTGAACGGTGTGTATTTCCACTTGGAAAAAAAAAGAAGGAAAAAAAAAAAAAGGCAGAGGAAACAAGAAACACAGAGAGTTTTTGACTGAGAGAAGAGCATGTGTTTAATCCTGGAAAGAATCCTGGACTGCTTCCTATCTGGGAGGCATCTTGGCATTGCAGTAGTTCAGCTCCCTGGAGTTTGTTTCTGATGCGCCTGGAGAGCCAAGGCTCTGTAAACCACTGGTGAGCAAACAAATTTGTGTGCGTGGCACAACCTGCAGCATCCTGAACGCTGGCTAGATCAAAAGGAAAAATTCCAGTGCCTGCGGGGCAAGCTTCATTTGATTTTTTAATGGTTTGTAAACATGGAAGGATAGTAGTGACTCATTCTACTTGTAGTCATCTCTGGCTTCTTAGATCCCTATCTTTCTTGTCAATGTCCTTTCATAAAGAGGGACATCTTGAGGACTGTGCCATAATACTTTTTCTTAATTTTAGGCCAGTCTCCTGTTTTTATCAGCCAGGTTTCTTCCTTCCTTCCTGGAGGTAAATTTTCAAGATCTGCCCTTTTTTCATGCCTCCATGTGAATGTAGGGCAAACAGAGGGCTAAGAACCAGATGTTGCCAGGCCTCTTAACATGTCAAGTGAAGGAATTCTGAGAAGCTGTTTCACAGATCACATTAGGTAGCAATGATGGGTGGTTACCTGTGAAAAAGCTGCCTAAGTAGACAGAAAGCAGCCAACAAAGATGATGTGCTAAGAGACAGCACAGTGAACAGATTAGCAGTGGAAGGGTAAAGGAGAGAGGTAGATTTCAAGGACTAATGTACAGAAGTTTCTATGGCACTTGGAGAAAGAGATCAGTAATCTTATATAGTTCATGGCCTCACCCTTTGGAGTGTTTCCTGTTCCTCTTTTCTTTCACAAGTACAATAGCAATGCAAAAGTATTAGTTTACAAGTGTGTTGTTTCACAAGAGTCTTATACAAGAAGCTAGGGAAAGTTTTTTGATTTGCTTTCTCCTATGCACTTCCTTTTAACTCATCTACCTTCTGAAGTCTCACCAGTAGGGAACAGTTTTGTGAAAAACCCACCACAAAGAAGTGGAAACAGGGTGTTTGGTAGCAATTCCTTATTTTAGTGTTTGGAATATCAGACTCAAAGGAGAGAGAAAAGAAGAAGTGCAATGTGTGGTTGCTAACTTTCATAGTAACAGCATGTTGTCTTTTACAACTCTGCCACCTTTGTTTGACATCCCCTTTTGCCCCATAAACTTGTTCTGCTTGGAAGAACCCTAGACTTTGGGCCTGGCTGCATCTTTATAGATAAAATGGTGATAAAGGGGGCTGACCTGGAGCCCAGGGGGGTGAAATGAATACAGGGGGACAGCCTTAGGGCTGGGCGGACACATGGCTTTGCCTATTCACCCTGTTCTGCAGTTGCCTGCAAAATGCAGCTGTTTTAACAAGGGAGTGAAGCACTTTTTAGTGTGGATCAAAAGGTTTGCTTGCACTGCATAATGGTAGACACACAGGTATCTCTGAAGAGCTAGGTTTCAAGAGAGCCTTGGTTATTTCCTAATGTTCTTGTTTAAAGGACAAATGAATTATCATGTAATGTAGGTTAATAGAAGTCTAATCTACATAGAAGCTCATCAACTTCTGAGCAAAATGTGCGTAGAAACAAAAAATCCCAAACTCTTCTGTATTATAAAAATATGGCGCATCTTGAGCATAATGCCCCCTCCAGCAGATTAACATGCAACCAGGTCTAGATTTTATATGGATTCAAAAATTAGAGACATTTTGAGGGCTGTGATTCCCATGGCAGCCATAACCCTGACGCCCTGTGCAAATATATAACATTTTTACTTGTGATGACTCTTATGGGAAGATGCAGGATGAAACTAATATTATATTGGTTGATATCATCCCAGATCACCTGAGCTTGTGTGCATAGGTGCTCCCCCCTCAAGATCATTGACCATGAATCTACATTAATGCTGTTTTTATGTTTATTCTCTTTTATTAGAAAAGCAAACAGAAACAACCTGAATTTTGATTAATATTCCTTTATATCCCTGAATGTGTGTTTTTGAAGAGGAGACTGCTGGTGAGCTAAGTATGATGTGCTCACCCCAGCGTGAAGGAAAGCAGACAACTGTCCCTTCTCTCCAACCTCGGTCTCTAAGGATGGAGATTCCCCATGGGGTGGGTCCTGGTGCAGGTCTTTGGCTATTCTTGACTCAAGCTTCCAGCTCAGCAGCTGAGCAGCCCCTGTCACCCAAAAGTGGTGAGCGTTGGCTTCCCAGTGCTGTAACGGGCAGGCTGCATGGTGTTTTCATGTAGAGCTTCTCTGTGGAAAGGTGGAAGCTGCATTTCCAACGTTGGTGTGGCCTTGTGCTGTGGCACCAGCGAGGACTTGCAGCGTTTGTGAGTCACCTAATGCACACAGAACACAATACACACACGCTTGTTCAGGCTTACTGAGTGAGGAGAGTGCTGCTACTCCCTACCTCAGCCCCCTGCACATCCCTTAAGGTGCTCCCCTGCATCTCACAGAGCGCCGGACACTGCCGCTGAGGAACCACGCCAGACCCCGAGCCTTTGCATTGTCCCGGGGAAAGCACCGCGTGTCATTGATGTCTTCCCACTTGATTACATGTGGGTAATGACACTTCCCTGCCTCAAAGGGACGTTGGGAGAGGTAATTAACTCGGTTAATGTTTGTAGAG